TATTTCCAACAGCCTGTTGCAGACCTTTATCAACAACTGCATTCTTTCTATACTTAAGATCAGATGGCCGGAAAAAATCACAAACAAGAAGCTATGGGAACAAACAAAACAAAAACCAATCGCCCAACAAATATTCAGGAGAAATTGGAGATGGATTGGACACTCGCTGAGGAGGCCGTTAGGTGACATCGCGCGTCAGGCCAATGCTCCAGTGGAACCCGAAATGGAAGCGGAGAGTGGGACGTCCAAGGGTGACATGGAGGAGATCGTGTGAAGAGGAACTGAAACAGTATGGACTAACATGGATGCAGGTGAAAAGTACAGCAGAAGACAGAAACAAGTGGAGACGTGCAGTTGAAGCCCTATGTTCCACTAGGAACCCAAGGGAATAATAATATAATATAATATATATAAGTCAATATTATTCTCAGTTATAGTAGTGAATTACTATTTACTTTTTGAAATGGTTGGTGATTAAAGAGGAAAGGAAAACCATTATTTAAAGTATTCGCCTCCAAACTATTGGTCCTGCTCAACTGTCAGAGCAATATTGTAACTAGATCATGGTTTCACTGCATAATGTCTAGGTGATATGTGAATGAATAATACATCACTGCGTATTCAGCATCATGCTAGCTACCCACCTAGGTCATCACCTGTCACAGTTCTGATCACAGTATTTCCCAGACCACTTGTTTGAATTCTGTCTCGACCCAGATTTTCCTTTCTTCTACATAATAACCATCCGTTACACTAATAATAGTTTGTCAACCTACGACTACCTCAGAGAATGCCACAATCTATTAGATTTTCATTTAAAACAAATTTGGTATTGCAGGGAAACCAAGAGATGGATGACAAAAATGTTAAAAAAACAGTAGTATAAGAAAGAAATGATTTACATGAGGGAAGACAATAAGAAGACCAGGTAAAAGTACTTATTCAAGTGTTGGTTTGAAGGTTAGTTACAGGATTTCAACATCAGCTTACATTGGTTAGAGAACCATTGGAAAACCAACTGGGAGTACTAGACAGCTGTTTCGTCAGCCTAGTTTGGGAATCTTCGGCAGTACGCACCCACCGGGGTTCGAACCCAGGACCTTCTGGTTACAAGGCGAGCTAGCTCGTAGACCATTAAGCCACTGGGGCCTGATCCTATGGCCCATGAATTCTAACTTCTGCCAATTCACGACATAGCGCGACCGCTAGCCAATGTCTTCGGTGATTTTTTGTCCTCACACCCGACCTGCTGCTTAAACTTATCATGCACATTCACAAGAGGGTTCATTACTTCGTATTGCTTTCAGAAAGAGAAGAAAGGAGGAATTTTCAACATGTTTGCCATTGATTTCAGATTCTGACCTACATTTGATAGCACGTTGAGCTCATGAATCACAGAGATTTGTTGGTATCAAGTTGGTCAATCCTGAGAAAGGCTAAGAATGGAATGTGTAGTGTGAAAGTTGAAAGAAAAATGTGTATTATATCATGTGTTGAATGATACTTGAAAGCTTCACTATCCCATTACGCAATAATATCATGGAGAAATGCAGTGAGTTGTTAACCATCCAGTACATATGATTTACTGAAAAGGCCTTATGATATATGTTCTGAGATTCGAATGGATTGACTCTTAATACACAACGTCTAACGACTTGCTAACAGACTATGAGGTAAAGGGAAATGTTGAGAAACCTGATTTGTGTAGAAGCATTCTGGTTAGCTACATCCAATTTAGCTGACTGAGTATTGACAGTAGTCTTTCTTATTCATCTATTATTTCCCCCAAGTTATAAAAAATGTCAAACACTACCAGATGAATATTTTACCCAGATGATTACAATGGTGTGTATGTCCAAGATACACATGGTTTCATAATCCACAAATGACTTCACGAATTAGCTGCTTTTTAGATAGTTTGTCAACTGACTGGCAGGCACCACTAGTGGTTGACATAGATTGCCTCGAATTACTCAAATTGATCAGTAGTACCCACTGAATTGCTCAGTATACCCGATATGTACAAATTAGAGGACTTCAACTCTTTGACTAACTGCTCCCAATGATAATCACAATTTGTTTTTTATAGGTGTAACACCACCAGCTACTTAAAAAAAACCTATCTTTAATACACTAAGAGAATACGTCAATAGAAAGGAACTTGTATCCCTTTGGACACAGTCAAGAATACAAAATACTAGGTTTTAATCTATGTTTATGACAACAAAATTGTTGTATGAAAGATGCTGCAACAAAATTTATGCTGAGTAAATTTTGTTACTAGTTTATGACACTTTATTGAAATAGAGTAATACTCAACTCATGAATGAATACGAGAATGTGAACTTTCTCCGTCACAGAATTTCTTATCTTCTTGATTTTTTATAGTTTTCGAACATACTACTCTTTGGTACTAAGTAGTATTGTGGTGAGAGATGGTTGCTAGCCAAATTGGTTGACAGTAATTGAGGTCAAGGTCAAGATGGACAGGCGGATACAGTTAACATATAGATGAACTGACACAGCCACAAGAGATGCAAGGTTAACTTTGTGTGAGAAACAACCAATCAGCAGACTGTTTTTTCTACTAACATTAACCTACAATAATGTACATCAAAATCTATAAATATGTGTTGATTTTCCGTAATAAACGTTCTGTTGCCTGGCCCTTGTCTTCTGTTGTTACAGTATTACTCATATTGAAGTTTACTGTAGCCAAACTTGGATTAAAATTTCTTCTCCTTTTGCAAGAGTGCGTCTTATCCTTTCAGCACTATCGAATTGCCCATTTATACTATACTGACTTATTATTGGTGATATTATCTCTTTTCTTAATAAATGCCCCCCCCAACTGTTTCATTTCACATATTGGTTATTTCATGATTAATTATTCACTGAAGTCTTGCCATTTCTTCTTTACTGCCTTCTATTTTGTACTAGACACTCACCTGACGCTTTTTAAAGCTTTGAAATGACCGGTCAATTTTCCTTCCCTACACTGTATAAATTTACTGCGGCTAATAATCATTATCGTAGTTTCATATTTCAAAATATTTTGTATTTCCATTCAGGCCAGTACGTCTGTCACACGATTGCTACTGATTTTGTCCCCCTATAACTAATTTGTTATTCTACGTAAAAATATATCCACCGCATAACTGGTTATTATTGTAACGATAATAAATATTATATTTTATAATTGTAAGTATCACGATAGGAATTTACTGAAATGAATAATCTTCGTTTAATAATTTTCAATTGTAAGTTTGTAGGGATTTTATTAACTTGAAGTTCGATCATGGATTGATATGGATTAGAGAACCGTCAAAGACCAAGAAGTACCAGAAAGCTGTTTAGTATTAGTTTGAGGCTCTTCACCAGTCTCAGTCCACGATGGGGTCCGTGCTGGCAAAGAATCCCAAACTGGGACGAAACAGCCGTTCAGTGCTACATGACTTTCATTGGCTCTCCAGCTAATATCAATCTGTGATCAAACTTAAATAGTTTTATTGAAAGGCTTTTACAAAAAAGAAGAGAAAAATGGCTTGCAGTCAAAAATGTCTCATGATTAGACAACTGTGAAAGGAAAAACTATGTATAAATAACTTCAAAACTCTATATTTTTTGTCTAACTCATTTATATAAATAATAAAAAATAAACAAATATAACAAAACTCATCATGAAAATAGAATAAAGGCAACAAGTACATTTTACTCTCCTCTGTAAATGCCAATTGAACAAAATTTTAAAAAATATTTCAAAAACAAACAAACAAAATGCAATAGGGAAATGCTTAGTATATAGGAAGAGAGGAAAGGAATGTGTAGTGGTGAACTTTCTCACCGTTGTTCTCTTCGCTTTAATGATCTCCATTTAAGCGTCCTCCTCTTCCAAACGATGCTGAATCTAGAGATCTAGACTCATTGAATTGTGCATCTACAGCTAACTGTAACGCACGAATAAAACATTGTAGTGTAACGCTGTTCGATTGAACAGAATTCGACACTGATGGTGATGGTAACAATAAAGGCGGTGATAGTGTAGCTGAGTTATTTGTTCCATTATTCATTATCATACTTGATGAACTAACATTAGAACAGGATGAACTATTATTTAAAATAGATGATTCTTGTTGACTATTCTGTGGTAAGTGAACTTGATGACGACTGTATAGGCTAGAATTGTATCGCATATCAGGGATTACTTTATTCAGATGGAATGCATAAGCTAATAAAGGTAGCTTACGCAATGTACGACCATTTAGACCAGAACTACGTTCAGATAAACGCCATAGTGAAATACTTAATGAATTAGCCTAAAATAAAAATAGATTGAATACTGATATTTATTCGAAATACTTAGTCATAATACAAGAAACAGAGAACCACAGTTAATACTTGTGTATGTATCTACAGATATCTGATCGGTGATAGGTTGGAAAGCAGTTGCACAAACCAATCAGCAACTGCTTCAAGGAGATAAATGCTACATCACCAATGATCCAACAGCATACTAATTTATGTTGTCAGACCTCCTTATAATACAGAAAGACATCTAAACCAACGGTAAACAGCTAGTCAATGGTTGAGATGTTCGGATGACATGGATTTACACTACTAAGATTGATTGTTTGCTATGTGAGCTAAGGTATTCAGTTTGAGGACCCCAAGTTAAATAGCCAGACGGTTTTCCTTTTATTATAATAGAGACTGGATAAAGAATTATCTTTGATACAGTAGCTATTCCAAACAGAATGTTCAATAGCTCTGAACCTGATTCACTTAATCAGCGCTTCAATACAACAAAACAAGATAGTGTTATTGACGACGTCTTATAAAAGAATGTATACCAAAAGATAAAAGCACCAGCTTTAGTTATGCATCTCTGGAGTTGTTTGATAAAACTGAAGATTACTTGAAAATCTTTACAATCACAAGATCAAGTTAAATTCCACCAAGAATCAGTATGAGTTGGAGAAGCCAATGCCCGTGCTGGAATAGCTAGGATTGGTTGGAATTCGATTACATAAGCCAACGAGCCATATCTTCACAATTCAGTATTTAATGAAAGACAACGCTACTCAGGCTTCTACATCGAAATGGATAAGGTGGTCATCTACAAGATAAGTTGCAACGACTGTGACAAACATTACATTGGTCAAAGTGGACGCCCTCTTCGTCTTCGCATTCACGAACACAAACTAGCTGTCAAAAGACACGACATACACTACCTCATATCACTACATGCAGACAACCACGGGCACCAATTCGACTGGGACAATGTTCAAATCTTAGACAAAGGGAACTGCAAAAATGCCAGAGAATTCCTAGAGGCCTGGTATTCAAATGAATCAGCAATCAATCGACACATAGAGATTGACAAAATATACCAATCGATACGAAGAAATTCACACAAAAACGAAGTCAAACTTCAGGTCAAGGAAACAGTCAACACCAAAACAAGTGAACTAGAAAGTGAGAAGTCACACAAAAACAACCAATCACGTTCAAGGTTAGCAGAAGGAATGACTAACGACATTCAGACCAAAGAAGCAGCCAGCACCGAGACAAGCAAACTAGGGGGTGAAATGTCACACGAAAACAACCAATCACGTTCAAGGTTACCAGAAGAGATGACTAATAAACTCATAGAGAATTCTAAAAGCCCACTTCACATCGAAGTATGCGCTGAAGATGTTGCTCAGTAGAGCAATGAAAGCTTCGCAACCAAACCATCCAGCTCAGAGAACACAACCACACCAAAATCATCCACCTAAGCTACAAATCTTCTCTATTATATCTAAGGTGGTTTAAAAAATAAAATAACTGAACTGATCTATGCGAATTCTGATCAAGATTTAACCAGATAGTTTCAGAAACACTAGGAGCCGAGTGGAAAGTAGATATATGTAGAAACTATATACTTGTTTAAATTTCAGAGAAATAGAAATAAACAACTCCAACGTTTCTTCCAGCAAACTGCTCCTAACTTCTTCAACAACTCAGAAATGACTGGATAGCAATTCTAGTGACAAGATGTGTCCTTTTATATACACCTTTAGTATTTTAATTTGATTATTTCCCTGTAGAAGTTCGAACTGATTTGACAAACGAAACATTGACGTTGATATGTATCATCGAAATATTCGTAAAAGAAGTTGAAAATTAAACTGTTCATCGTACACTTCTAACGAATCAGTACCTATAGTAGAAAGTCTGTAAACCCAACCAAATGAATATGCCTTTTCCCCTTCTGTGATCATGAGGTCATTTGCAGTTATTCAGCTATTGACTAATCTTCATGACCCGCTTTCACTTGTAGTTATTATTGATTCTATCTGATAAATGCAGAAAGTATGATCATAAGGCTGCCCATTTCGAAGGACGTGAAATTACCGATAAATTGCATGAAGCGTAAATTGTTTAAAACGAAGTAGTCTGTCTGTCTATTTTTGACATAGAACTTTGCACCGATGTGCAGCAGTTCAAGTCGCCACACTCCATGTAGAACACAAAGGAAGAGAAGAAATGCAAAATACAGACAGTAGACAGGGATAAGAGAGAAAAGGAATGGTAATAACGAAGAGCAAAACAGTTTCATTGGAAATTATAAGTCACAAGGAGTGGATGCATCTGAGCCACTGAGAACGATTTCGAGGCATGTCACCAATTGTTTCCAACCATTGGTTTTTACCGTCCCGAGGACCCCAACCAGGAAGTCTACACCTTCCTACGTGACTTAAGCTAACTATCGTGGATTTCATTGACTGGTGCCATGATTTGGTTTGACCGCCGCTAGGTCTTTTCCAGCCTGACTCTATGTCAGGTAACATTGCCCGTCGAGGAAAGCGATGGCTAGGCATGCGTAACACATGTCCTAAACTCACAATCCAGTCGATGTAACTTCACAGCCTCGTCGATTGATTTCCCCTCCTTACCTAGCACTCGACACCTAGCCTCAGTATTTCTTACCTTACTATAGCACTTCACACGGGATATAAAACGCAGATACCTATGATCAAAGACAGCTAGTCAGCCAGCCTTTTCATGCCTTCCACTCACAATGACCAGATCTCACAGCCATAAAGGAGGACGGAGCAGACTGCTGAGGGGTACACCCGCCCTTTGGATATCACACACGCCAGAGACGGCGTAAACTGGCGTAAACTGAGAAACTACCCCTTTGTATCCGTACTGAGATTTCGTCAGTGATCAACCCACTGGCGTTGGCTGATGCAACTTCCCAAATAAGCGAAGCGGTCAACGTGCTCTACCACTTCAATCCCTATTTCTAAACTAGGAGTCAGTGTAGTCCAGTCCTGTGGCATCATCTTACCTTTAGCGGGAGTGAATCGCATGAAAAATATTCGCAGAATGCATCTCAAGGTGTTCAGAAGACTCTGCACTTTGTCAGCGTCTTCCTCACCTAGCATGGAGGACGCTATTATCTGCATATTCTAAGTCAACGAGATTATTCCCTGGTAGCAAGTCAATCCCTGAGTCTCTGAAGTGAGTTACGGTTAAGTTTATTAGTACATCTATGATGAAATTAAACAGAAATGGGAATAGTGGGCAACCCTGACGGACACCACTAGTTGTCACCACTTCAGATGACAACTTTCCGTAAGCCCTCACCTGGCTGCATGAGTTCAAGTAGAGTGCCTTGATCAGTGCAATGTATTTTCTCGATATTCTTTTCACAGCCAAGCATCGCCAGAGAACCTCTCGGTCGACAGAATCAAATGCTGCCCTTAGGTCAGGAAATATAACGATTGTTGTACGCCAACGGTTCGTATGCCTATGTTCCAGAATCTATCGAAGGATGAATGTATGATTAATACACCCTCTTCCTGGTCTAAAGCCTGCCTGGTTCTCTCGTGTTTCTGCCTCCCGAGCACCACTTAGTCTGCGCATGATTATTGAGCCTAGGACTTCAGATACCATATTAGTCAAGCTAATCCCCCTTTGATTATCACAGAAAGACTTGTCTCCATTCTTGTATATCGGGATAATCAATGACTTACACCAACCCGATGGGACTTTCTCTGATTTCCAGACGCTGTCTAGTAGCTCAGTTAACGCAGACAGTAAGCTGTCTCCACCGTACTTAAATGCCTCTAGAGTCATTCCACCAGGTGCTGCTGCTTTGCCTCGTTTCAGACTAGTGACAACCTTAGTAACCTCAGTTAAGGACGGAGGACCTGTATCTACATCCCATTCAAGGAGGTGTTGGATATTCGGAAAGTTGAGTGTAGCTGTAGGCGAAGTAGACGAGAATACTGATTTTAATTCATGATACAGTGTATCAAGAATTAATGACAAAACAACGAGAGAAAGCTCACTTACTTGGTAATTTATGAAATGACGTAACACTGCTCTAATTGAAGTTAGTGTTACGGTATTAGTACACTAGATTCAACAAAATAACAGCATAAAACCGCTTCCTTGGCAAAATGTAAGAAATTAGAGATTATTTAGTCAGACGCCAAACGTTTCCAGGGAAAGAAAACCTGCTTGAATACATATATCTCAGTCCGTCTGGTTTTTAGCATTATCATTTCTTACATAGTTTTTTTAAATGCATTTTTCAAAGACAACATTCTTATATTCACCTATTCATGTTTATTACTACTACTATTACTATTATTACTTTATTACGTTTCAAATAAATAAGCAAAATACCCAACTGATATTAAAAACACTACAACGTACATGCTTTTCTGAAAATTGTACTGATGATAAAGTTCGATAACTTAATAAACAACTGTCCTCCGTTGAACTGATCAATCCAACTCTCATTAATTCTAGTAAACAAGAACGATAAATTGAATAGATAGCTGGTGATGAAGGTGGACCAATAAACATGCGTAAATCAGCTCTGTCTAAAAATGCTGGATCTATAACACTGGTTACATTGGATGTGGCCAGTATCAAGACATTAGGGAATCGTTTAATCTGAAATTTTTGAAAAAAAAATAAAGAATCAGATCAGTATTTATCAATTTGCGGTAAACAAATGACAACATAAGAACTCACCGCTGTACTAGTCTACATACACGGTAGAGAATATATTAGTCATTACATGTTAGCAGATTGAGTTCGCTTTATAAATGATGGCTGAAAGCTTAAAACAAGGAATACATCTTCATTCTGAAACTGATAAGTAATTCATTCGACATCGAAGTCAAAGATGTCATCTTCACTACGAATCAAATAAATGAAGCTTGGGTTTTTTAGAAACGCAAATGCCGTCCAAAATTAAAAATTATTAATATTCCCTTAGATTTCGAGTGGAACATAAGACTTCAACAACACATCTCCACTAAGTTCTGTTGTTTGCTGTTCTCTGCATATGGGTCCACCATTGCCCGTAATTTCTTGTCTCCTCCTCGCCACACGATCTTCTCCATGTCATCCCTCGGACTCAAGCCCAACCATTCGACGATCTCCTCAGTGTGTACCTTATCCATCTCCATTTTCACCTACATATTTGTTGAATGATAGATTCTTGGTTAATTTCATCCTCATAACTTCCTATTGCTGATTCTCTCTGGTCATTCGATCTTTAATATAGACAAAATGAAATGGAAACCCCAGAAATAAGAGTAAAAGAGGAACCTTTTATTTAAAGCATCTCTTTATTCGCTTAATACTTCCTAGTCATCAGTTATTCTGATACTTTTTTGACATTTCAATATATAAAGCATGCTAAAGTTTGACTGCAAAATAGATTAAACACAATCATATTAAGAAGTTCAACAAAAATAAACGCGTAAATCAAAACTTCACCTGGTCAATTTGAGTTAAAACAGAATTCACAACTCGTATAGCATCACTTGGTTCGCAGCCTGCTGACGAAGCACTTCTTGTAGCAGTTAAACTTTCAACTTCATCTACTACTAAAACTACTAAATGTTTCGGTGATTGTAGATATTCTCTAATAGAATCAAACATTTTTGTGACAAGACGTGCACTTTCTGAAAACCATTTTGACATTAAATTCATAGCATTAATTTCAATTAATTGTGCTGATGAATAGTGATTAGACATTCGTATAGCTAATTTATTAGCTAATGCTCTGCACAGGGAAGTTTTACCAGTTCCTGGAGGACCAAATAACAAAACAACTCGATTCCACGAAATCACAGATGATGACACCTGAAGGATAGTGAAATAAAATGAAATGGATCAATTCTGGGATGTAGGATTGAACAAATTAATAAAGTATCCTATAAACAATAAATGAGGGAATATAAAACATCAGAACTCAATAAAACAGGTGCAGGTTTGCTTGACTGATCTCTGAGTTATTAATACTGCTACCACTAAGTCTATCTATCCCGGAATGAAATAAGTCTGAATAGTCCAATATTTCAAAATAAGATAGACGGTTATAGGATTGAGGCTACAATTCCATAAATTGTTGACTATAACACATGAGATCTTTCGAGATTTAATGCTTTTTTTAACCTTCTAAATATTTCGACCAAAAATGTAAGATTATACTTAAATGGTCAATCCAAATTCAAAAGTTTATGGTTATGCTTATACAAATAAATAGTATTTACCTCCTTAAAACATTTCAGTCAATTTATATACGTAAAGGTATATAGCTCAAAGAATTGATGATGAGTAAACAATATACCGATTTCTGAAGCAAACTGTTTCGAGTCTTTACATCACATAATGAATAGTCATGATTTGTACAAAAGTAATCTCTTGTAGATATATACATCTAGTAAATATATCTGAGTATAATTCAACTAATGAAACTGAACTGGTCGAAGAAGCAACAAAGACAGGACTCCAGGTGAACATAGACAAGACGGAGGTTATGAAAATAACTAACCAACAACAACAACAGCAGCAGCAACATCCAGCGCCAATCACCATCAACGGGAGGGATCTGAAAGAGGTTACTTCATTCACTCACTTATCTAGGGAGCATTGTCTCAACTACACGAGAAACGGACGAGAATGTCAAGTCGAGAATCGGGACGGCGAGAAACACATTCATCAACCTGAAACCAATCTGGAAATCTTCATCACTCCTCAACATCAACAACAAAATTTGGATTTTCAACACAAACGTCAAGTCAGTTCTTCTATACGGATCAGAAACTTGGCGGGTCACAAAGAATATTTCCAACAGCCTGTTGCAGACCTTTATCAACAACTGTCTTCGTTCTACACTGAAGATCAGATGGCCGGCCGGAAAGAATCACCAACAAGAAACTATGGGAACAAACAAAACAAGAACCAATCGCCCAACAAATATTCAGGAGAAAGTGGAGATGGATTGGACACTCGCTGAGGAGGTCGCTGGGTGACATCGCGCGTCAGGCCAGTGCTCGAGTGGAACCCGAAAGGGAAGCGGCGAGTGGGACGTCCAAGGGTGACATGGAGGCGACCGTGTGAAGAGGAGCTGAAACAGTATGGACTAACATGGATGCAGGTGAAAAGTACAGCAGAAGACAGAAACAAGTGGAGACGTGCATTTGAAGCCCTATGTTCCACTAGGAACCCAAGGGAACAATAAATAAAAATAAATAATAATGAAACTGAAACAAAAATAGTCATAACGAAAGTTGGTTAGTTGAAATCTTTCATTATCATTATGTTGACTGACATCAAATTTGAGTGACTTCTAGACAGTCAAAAACAAATAGCAAGAGGAGTGAGATGAAGAATAAACTACAGTATTCAGCATCAACTAGGCATTTACATTAGAGAGATTGGTCGAAATAAAACTGCTCAATAAGGATGATACAAAAAGAAGAAACACGAGACGTCAGTGTTGTGTTTTGAGTGTAATATAAGGCTTCAAACTTTCACGTTTCAGTAATGGTCTTGTTTTTACAGGGTAAAGTTGCTAACTTTAAGCTTAGTATCTCGTCTTCTCTGGACTTACTACCCATTAGTAAAATAGATAAGATTTAGGAGTACATCGATCAGGAATCGAACCTAGACCTCCTGTGTGAACCATTAGCACAAGACGTTTATGATAATTCCTAACAATATAATCCAGTTGTAAAAAGATCTCACCTCTCGATCGGCGAACAGCAGAGCAGTTTGAGCATATTGTAACAGATTTAGTTTTAAATCCGAATCGTAAACAAGTGACTCCCAGAGGCCACACATTTCCGATGAAGGAAGTAACCATGTAGTTCCACTGTTAATAGACTCTGAACCGAATTCAATAATTTCTTGGACTGGTACAGCTTCTTCACCACTAACCAACTGATAGACATGTATTAAAATTACAGCAACAGAAAGATTGACTGATCGGCCAGCATCATTTTCATGAAGTCCATCAGCTTCATCAAGTACTAACTAGATAAGAAAAAAATGTCATGAATAGATCCCAGAACTGCTTTATAGAAACATTGAGTTCTACAGTGAATGAAAGAAATCTCTGTATATAAGTAAGATGTTGATACTTAACTTTACGTGAAATAAGATAACCTTAACCTAGAGAATAAGTGATTCCATATTAGTTTGTTTATTAGATGTATCACACAATGAAACAGCATTATTTACTGGATGACGTTTTGAACAAAACTTATTTATTCGAACACACTTACTCAAAGGTGGAGGCAATTCAATTCACTTATGAATTGGAAATTCAAGAAGGGGAGCTTCTAATGATAGATTGTAGCGTAAAAAGGAAAGAAGATGGGAAGTTAAACACTAGTGTTTACAGGAAACACACACATTCAAACAGATATGTGAATTTCCGATCATCTCATCCTATGTCAGTGAAAATTGGATTGATAAAATGTTTAAATGATAGAGCACAAAAACTAAGTAGTACCAAAGAAAATCTAAGACGGGAAGTGAAGCATATAAGAGAAACTTTGAAACTTAATAATTACCCTGACAAATTAATCAGAAAGTATGTAGGGAAATGTAAAAATAAAATAAATAATGATAGTAGTGATAGTGGTAATAATAATATTGATGACGACATGCATGTCGAACATGTGCAGTACGATGACAGCGCCAACAATAAGGAATAAGTAGTAATTCCATACAAATGAACCGTGGAAACCTTGCACAAAATTCTTAACAAGATAGGAATAAAGGTAGCTGGCATTCAAACCCACAAACTCACTGAGAAACAAGTTTTGCCGGTTAGAATATCCTGTGGAGCGTTTAAAACAAAACAATTTAGTTTGTCTAATACCCTGTCTGCGATGATCGTCAGGTCAAATACATAGGTCAAAATAGTAGAACAAGGTCAGTTAGTCAAACAAGCGGAGCGCAAAAACCTAGCAAAATCTAGGTAAGTTGACCCGAATAAGATAAGAAATCTAGAGAATACCTCAGCTATACCACTCACTACATGCAATCACACACAGCCATACAATAGGACGGGAGGGATAAGATGACAGTTTTAAAATCTAATGTAAAAGGGTGGAAGGAGAGATTGATAACAGAAGCTTTGTTTATCGAATCAACTGCAAACACGTGTAACAGCGGTGAATCAACACCTGTCCCAGACGGATATTTGGAAAATTCTACTACACCTACGACAAATAGGAGAGAACAAAGAAAACTATAAAACTCAAGTTTCGAAGTCGTGTGATTATAATTGATATGATTATGAACAGCAATAAATTTTGTTCGAAACCTCGTCATCCAGTAAATAATACTGTTTCACTGTGTGATATATCTAATAAACAAACTAATATGAAATTACTTACTACCACAGTGTACAAGTTTTACACATATATTAATAGAGAGTAAGTGGAAAGAATTTTCTGACCTCGACAATTCCTACACACTTGAAAAACTTTAATATTAGACATAAGACTTCAAGTCTCGATCAGCCTTATACTATTCTTAAACTGCATGCAACACAATTAACTGACTTGTAAATCATTTCTCTTACTTCTATTTTTGAGGTAAGTGAATACCGGTACCTGAGTTACCAATTACAACGGAAACCTTTGTAAAAATACTACTAAATAACTTGTGGTCAATGCAAACTCATGAAAACTTATTTTCACTCATAAGATTACTTATGAAATAAATCTTGGTAGTGTTCAGCTGTAATAAGGATAATTTCCTTAAATAAGTTGCAAGGCTTTCGATGTACACAATTTTTTCTCAAAAACACTGAAATTAAAAACTTGAGTATTCGTCAGAATCTTAATATTCTGCAGAATAATCTACCAACATATGCGCATATGTAGTGCGCAAGTTGGTTGTTAGTTTATAAAAGAATCAAAGGATAGATAGTAAAAACTTTGTAGAACATTAAGCATTATGCAGATAAGCACATCTGATTGAATAAAAATGTAGGAAAAACTTGAACAGGTCTATACGAACCGGCTGTGATTCTAAAAGTGAAAGACTAAATATCTAGGCTAGTCTTCTCTTCTTGTATCTATCAATTTAACTAAGCTTGTGGAGCCAGTTATATTGACCGTTGCTCCAGGAACTTAATTTTCCCACTTGGGAACATCTACTACTTTGGCCAAATAAAGTTACAGCAAAAACCATCAACAGTTCAACATTTGACCACCTTGTCCAAAAACAGACCATTGAAGAATCTGTTTGTTTCATCTATCACGCATCAAATAAAATGAAAATACTGCAAACTGCAGAAGCCATTGCAATGAGGTTAAAACAACCGGAAATTTACGTGCAAAAGAAACAGATTCAACCATCATTGCTGCTATGCAGCTTATATATCAATAAATTCTGTATAATTTTCCTTAATTTATCTGATACTCACTTTACTGCTACATTGGTGAATATGTCATCACTTATAAATGCTTTTGAAGTGTAATCTACTGATGTTATTATTGATTCAGCGTTATTTATAACAATGTTATTAATAATTCCCTAATTATTATGGATATATAAGTTTTCTATAGTTTGGTTTGTAAGGGTTAGTTATGTTTTTACGAGTTGATCACCGATTGATATCAGTTAGAGAACCATATAAGTGTGGTATCGGATGAAGAAGTTATCGAAAAAACTCTTCGTTCAGTGATCAGTCCTTCTGGAATACTATTTCAATAACGAAATGCTCAAAATCAAGTCAATTCAAAGGATAGGTGTGACTTGGCTGACTGGTATAAGCTTTATCTACCAAAAACTGTATGTATATTTCTGATACAATGTAGATGGAGAGGTATTTAAATTTAAAAGAAATTTAGTGGTTAAAATAGTAATCTACATCACCTAAATCTATTTCAAAGATCTTTTGTAAGCAATACAACAAGTTAAAGAAAAACTCTTGCTTCACTGTATAGCTGTACTTACATTAATGGAAAGCACACAGTTAGTAAGAATTTCCCGAACTTTCATCATATTCCCATGCAATGAGATTAAATTCAAATCACTATAAGGACTTTCCAAAACAGTTGGCACGTGCCGTGGACCAAGATGACGTAAAAATTCAACAACACAGGACTCAATGACAGAAAATTCTTCACAATTATATGGAGATACACAAACTTCAGCATGAACTGGTCGTAATGAAGAATCAGGTGTTATTAAATCTCGATGTTGATATGTAGGACTTAATGGACTTAAATCAGAATGACGTGAAGAATTGCAATCAGCCTGATTATCATTCACTGAATGATTTTCTTGATTATAAGATATTTCAAGTGTATCAGAATTATTGCAAGAGTTAAGTATTTCCCAAACTGGTGTATTGATTTCCATTGTGGGGAACGAAAATTCTACAAAATAATAATAATAATAAATGAAAAATAAGTGTAGATAAAGTAATTTTCAAAATCAGATAGTAACTATTATCATGAAACTGTTATTTGAAAGTTATCAGAAACATAACTGTACATTTTTACTTTATTTAATCGAGTAAATATTTTGCCCAACAATTAGTAGTCCTTTTACTAGATTGTCATAATGGTAATTTGAATAATGTAAGAAGTCAACTTTCAAACTTTCGCAAGCCACTAGTTAATATCTACCTACCACTTGTGTACGCTACAAAATAAACATGATTAGCAAATTATACTCAAACGTACAAAATGTTAGTCAATTTTAGACTAGCGTCCACAAGTATGTCACTAGCAAGTAAGAATGGAGGTTAAAACTTGAATTCTTTCATTCCAGAACATATATATACTAGTGAAAACAGTGAGTGAAGGAAGCCAAACATAAATGACCTTTGGTAGCTAAAGAATCTTGCATACCTGAATCGAATTCACAATATGTGAATTAGTTCACAATTTGCAAACTTAGGCGGGATTATTTCATTATAGTTTCCTTTGGAAACTGAAATTATCCAAATGACAATATGCGTGATACCATCAACAGTGATGATCAAGAAACCAAGAGTAAATACAAAAAACCATATGCTACTGATTGACTGAGATGAGCAATTTTATACCGCACACATCAACCA